CATACTCTAACTTGAGCCTCACTATCCTCGAAAAACTCTTCACGCATACAGTAACCTACTCCCCCCCTAACCATACACTTGCAAACATCTGCCACATTGCCCCCCCCTATCCACCCCTGTCACACCCTTTTATCCAAATCCATAATGCCACAAAGACCCTCTTAGCCTTATTTAAATACTGTTCACATAATATGTTTCACTAGTAAACACCTGGTCCACACACCCCTAACCCTTCCTAAAGCTCCTTGTTCATCTGCTATCCTAATTCTCCCTGTCTTTACTCCTTTAGTTCCTTTCAATTTATAACCTTCTACCATACACTTTACCATGTACACTCACAGACTATCCCCCTATAATTTTTGCACTCCTTTTACCCCTTTGCCTTATACAAAGGAACTATGCATGCTCTCTGCAATTCCCTAGTACCTACCCTCTTCCTACATTTATTAAATAGCACCAACCCCTCCAAAACTAATCCCACCTGCTTTTAACATTTCTATCTTATCCCATCAATCCCGGCTGCCTACCTACCTCCTTTCATTTACCTACTGCCTACGAACTTCCCCCCACACTCACAACTGGCTCATCCTCACTCCTACCAGATGTTATTCCTCCTGCCCAAAACACGAAATCACAGCTTCCCTATCTTCATCAAACTATAACAATTCGCTCATAATATTCCTTCCAATCTTCCCAATACCTCTAACTCTCCATTTAATAACTCTCCTCTCCTATTTATAACTGACAAATCCATATGTTCTCTAAGCTTTCTTAACTGTAAATCCTCACTCCAAACTTTTTTCTTATTTTCAACAAATTTGTTGATAACATCTCACCCACGGTCTCTCATTTGCTCCCTTTTTACATTGCTTCACCACTCTCTTAACTTCTCTCTTTTTCTCCATATACTCTTCCCTCCTTGCATCACTTCTACTTTGTAAAAACTTCTCATATGCTAACTTTTTCTCCCTTACTACTCTCTTTACATCATCATCATTATTTATATAATAATAAAAATAATAATTAATAATAATAATAATATGTATAATAATAATACGCATAATACATAATAATATAATAATACAATAATAATAATAATAATATGTATAACAATAATACATATATAATGTACTACATCTAATAATTATAATAATAGACGGCTTCAAAAGGCCATCACTAGATGGCAGTGTTTACCACAACAAAGAGGGAGCGGTTGTGGCCGCCTCCACCTCCAGAGATTAGGATCCTAGCTAACAAAATTAGGGCGGCAGTTATAACCATCTCTGAATCTTGGTTGGATGATACAGTGACTGACGACGAGGTCAAAATAGAAGGTTACAATATAAAACGCTTAGATAGGAACAGAAAGGGTGGTGGAGTATGTGCCTACATTAGAAATGACTTGGCTTACAACCCAAGACCTGATTTAAATAACATAACCGAGAATTCTATGGTTGAAGTGCTGCTTCCCAAGACCAAACCCATCTTAGTAAGGAACTAGTTACAGCCTCCTACCCAAGGACCAGTTTCTTAGAAAGACTTTCCCGAGTCCTTGTCCGGAGTTGAAAACAATATGCGAGACCATAATACCTGGGCGAACTACAATATCTGTTTCAGCAGCAAAATACGGGCTATGCCAAAGGTATAATCAATTCTAGGATTAAATAGCTACACCAACTAATTAATACAACCAACCCGGATCACACAGTTCACAGAGCCACCCTAATTGACCACATATTTGTACCGCGCTGAGAACAGTTAGTCAGTCAGGCGTCCCAAAATTACCACAGGTCTTAGTGATCATTTCATCAATTACTGCACCAGGAAAATCATTAAGGATAGAAGGCCTACACAGGACAATAAAAAGAGGTCAAACAAGAACTACAGTAAAGAAACACTGGGTAAATAGGCTACACAATTGTGACTGGACAGAGATGACAAGTTGCACACGTAAACGATGCCTGGGGTTGTGGGTGAGAAACAATGTTTCCTTACCATTCTTATAATATTGGGCCCAACAAAAAAAACCAGTTAAGAGGTTAGATTAAACGAAGAACTGAACCCTGGATGATACTGAGATATTAGATAATCTGAAATTCAGAGACCAGCTGGCTAAAAAGATTTAAAGCAAATCGAACAGGATAATTGGCAGCACTAAATTGAATTCCAAGGGTGAGGAACAGAGTACAGAGGCTTATAAAAGGAAACAAAGGCAAAGCACTACTGCTCAAAAATTGAAGAGTAAAAGCATAACCCCAGAAAGCTCTGGCAACAACTAAAACATTAGGTATAGCCATAAGCCATTAGAAGGTCTAACCTAGTAACTCACTATCGATAAATGAGTATCCACGAAACATCTAAGGTGGCAAATTTGCTTTTTAATTCCTACTACCATCTGTTGCATCAACACTAGTAAGTAAACAACCAGCTGCATCAAATTACCTTTAACAAAGACTCTGATAAGTTCAAACATACTATACCAATAAATTAAACCGAAACAGTCTTGTCAACTAGAAGGTGTAACTCATTGACTTCATTGCAATTTTTACATTGGCTTTAAACCCAACTAAGAGCACAGGCCCTGAGAACATCCATCTAAGTTCCTAAAAGATGGTGCTACTGAACTGTCAATCCTATTGCTCACTATAATATATTCTACCAATCACCACTAATACCGTACAGGAGGGGTTCAAGGAGGCCAGAGTTACTCCTATCTTCAAGAAAATAATAGTCTGATGTAAGCAACTATAGACCTGTTATATACTCCAGTATAATATCTAAAATTCTGGAGATGGCGGGTATTCTCAAGTAGTTAAGTACCTTAATGACAACAGCAATCTCATAGCTATCAATCGGGCTTTAGAAGGATCCTACCTCAACCATATACCTCCTTATTAATCGACAGGATACCTGAGAACTGAAATGTCAAAAGGGAAACCTCCATAGGATGGTTAACCTTAGACCTGCAAAAGGGCCTTCGATACTGTAACCACAATATATTATGTAAAAACTTCAAGCTATCGTTATAGGTGTCTGTAGACTGGTTTTAAGTCCTACATAGCAACAGGAGACAAATAGTCCCAAAATCAACGAAAAACGATTCAGAACCTGCCGATAACATGTGGATTTCCCCAAGGTATATCTGGTCCCTTATTATTCTTTGATGCTATGTCAATGATAGTGCCTATCAGTGTCAAGTGCCAAACTCTACTGTATGCAGATGACAGGCCTGTTAGTGACCATAAAGACCCACAAGATAATGCTAATGTTTTAACACTGGAACTGGAGTCCTGCAGCAAATTGTTAGTAGACAACAAACTATCATTACACCTGGGAAAACTGAAGCCATTCCTCTTTGCACAAAACATAAACTGAAGAAGGGTAAATAATTTTAATGTTCCAGTGTAATGGGAGCCCATCACTTTGGTTTCATCAGTAAAATTATTTGGGAATCCTTTGAAACCCATGCGAATGTCAGGAGAATTGATAGGAGTACAGTGTAGTAAAGAGAAGCGAATGCCAGACTGAATTCCTGTTAGACACAAGCACTTGTCTACCTTTGAGGCTCGCAAGGACCCTATGTCTAGCCCTTCTAACAAATGCCATAAAGGATTAAGCCTTGCTCTTCTGGTACCGCCTTGACAAAAAAAACTGAAAGAAACTGCAAATCACCCAAACAAAATCGTAAGATTCATCCTGGGGCTGGACCAAGAGAACATGTAAGCCATGATGAATTACAGCAGTTGATATGCTGAATGTTTAAGACAGAGTAAAACAACTGAAGCTAATCATGTTTATAAAATTGCTCACAAACAATTCCCAAATAACTGCTGCAATTTTGTCAAGGTTGGGAACCAAAGCAATCATAGATCTAGATAGGGGAGAAGCACAACTTTGTAGTACCCACTAGTCAGTTGCCAGCTTTCAAACCTTTTATTGTACAGCAATAAAGGAATGGAACACTGTGCCTGCCCATTCCAAAGCCAGTCATAGCATGAACCAGTTTCAATAAGAGTGCCAAAAGGTGTCTGATGAATGTAGTCTACAGAAAGGGAGGGGACTGATTTGCTATTTTTTAGCTAACATCCGTGTAAATTTTACCGTATTCCCTAGTTATGACCCTCGTATTGAAGATAGGCTAATGACCTGTGTAGTAGATAGTCAGTTTTAGTTTTGATAATAAGATGTTATCTTCATTGTAGAATAATAAGAAAATATTAATAACTGATGTTATAAAAATAAGTTAAAAGGACCCCAATGAAATAAGTCACTCTGTCCTGACTTTTTTTGGTTATCCTAGTGTTCACTACACATATGCTGCTATGTAGATAAATCTATGTACTGTATTGTGATACCTGAATAAACTTACTTACTTACCTTTTACATTATGACATTTTTTATTCATTCTAGAGTATAATTCATGTGGTCTATGTTTTATTTATATTGTTGTTATGTCATATAAGGAATGAACCGTGATAGATTAATAAGCCGTATAGATGATATTAGTAAGCGAAATTAATTCAGAAAGTTTTTTGCCCGGGGGCCCGTCTCCAGGTACTAAATTCCTCGTCCACCACCGACACCGCCCATACCCTACATGAATGACATATTTTATTCCCCCCACCAAAAATTGTATTTTTAAGAGTATATATCATTTTGTAACTATTATATTGTTATTATGTCATATTAGATGAAGTGAGATAGATAATTAAGCCGTAGAGTTGATATTAGCGAAATTGTTGAAGTACAGAATTCCACTGGAACGGATTAACTGCATTTCAATTAATTTAAATAAGGAAAATTGACTCTGCAAACAAGCAAATCCAGTTGCGAGCAAGGTCATGGAACGGATTAAACTCGCAAGTAGAGGTTCCACTGTATAATAAAACTGAGTACAGCGATCAGACCAGCACTGTCTTCAGTCAGTATTATGGTACATCACAGTAATTTAATTTTATGTTACAGAACAGCCCATCTTTACAAAATTTGGAATTCCTTACTTTACTCCATGCGGGAAACACTTCTCTGGCACTAGCAACTGCACGGTCAACCTCCAGTGGCCCCGAGACTAGTACCTCACATAACACATGACCTGTTGCTGGTTCAGGTACCTGTGAAAACAAATAGGAATATTCATTAATTGTATCATTAAAACTTTTTCTTTTTTCAACAAACCAGCCATATCCCACTGAGGCAGGGAGACCTAAAAAGAAAAACAAAAGTTTTTCTTTTTAGGTCTCCCTGCAGGAGAAGGAGTTATTAGCCCCTTGCTCCCGGCATTTTAGTCTCCTTTTACGACATGAATGGCTTATGGAGGAAGTATTTTTTTCCACTTTCCCATGGAGATTAAAAGTATTATATCTGGAAAAAAAAATAATGCTTTCAAATCTGATATGAAGAGATAGATTAGATCATTAACACTGCTTTGTAGCAGCAAGTAATGAATGATTACCTTTTATCTAATACAGGAGAGTACTTTAAATACCCAACAATATACAGCCTATCATTTTGTTTTTTTAATGCACCAGCTGTTTCCCACCGAGGCAGGGTGACCTAAAAAGAAAAACAAATTTTCCCTTTTACATTTAGTCATTTATATAGGAGAAGGGGTTACTAGCCCCCTTACTCCATTTTGATTTTTATACACTCAGAATTAATTATTTATCATAAAACTTTGTAACCTTACCTTCATAGATCCAAGTGACTCACTGGGCTTGCACCGTCTGCCAGCCACATAGTTCCAGGGACCAGTCACTGTTCGAGTAAAGCCATGCCTAATGACTCGCCCACCAAAGTTACTTGCCATCTGTAAAATACAGCAGAGTTCTATGAAGACGAGCTCTAACCAGTAAACTAAAAAATAAACTGTTTTCCCTAATTCATAATAATAAATCCAACTTGACCCAACACAAGCAGATTTTATGCCTTTATTATTATTACAGTAATGTGCAGTACAATATGTATTAGATTCTACTAATGGAATAGTATGCAGTAAACACTAAAATCCAAGAAAAATACAGAAAAAATCAAAGAATAAAATCACTGGAAAATAAAAGCAAATAAAAATCCAAAACAATAATTTTTTTATTTATATATACAGCATATACAAGGGTAGATCAAAAAGTCTTTGCCGCCATCATTTTTCCTGACGAAAATATAATAACAGCCCCAATTTTGCCCTCATTAATTTCCATCTATACAGGGCTATAAAGAAGTTCCTGGGAGGATAGCATTTTGATACAGATGATGATGTGTTGACTACGGTTTGTCGATGGTTACATAATCAGACAATTGAATTCTATATGGAAGGCATAAACAAACTGGTTACACATTGGGAAAGTGCCTCAATAGGCCTGGTGATTATATCAAGAAGTGACCCATGAACAATAAAGTGGACCCTCGAACTTCAGAATTAATCCGTTCCAGAGAGTCTGACGAAAGTTGAAATTTACAAATGGCAAAACCATGTTCCCCATAAGAAATAATGTAAATCCCATTAATCCAATCCAGACACGCCAAAGTATAACAAAAAAAAAAAAAATTTTCATTAAATATGATTTTACATAGAGAAAACAATGATACATCAATAGAAACAACAATAATATCACACTTACCTTTATTGAAGACATCTTGCTGGTGTATGGAAGACAGGAGGAGGGGAGAGGATGGAAAAGTTCACTATTGTTGGAAGGGGAATCCCCCTTCCATAAAGGCTTTAGTTACCAGTCCTTTATCAGGTTACTTCCCTATCTTGGTTTTTATGCCACTAGGACCCCTTGAGAGTCAGTGGACCCCTATCACTCCAAAAAAGCCTCCCAGAGAGCTCTATTCCTGCATCTCATTAAACTTGCCTTCATATGGACAAGAATTGTCATGTACATGCTGTCGGACACATGCATGCACAGCTGTGTCAGGGTGAGTTCCACGCAAAAATGTTGCACCTCACTCCACATTGCACAAAATGGTCCTTAAACTTGAAGAAGGCACCTTCTTCATCTCTTTCTCCTCCTCTGAAGAAATTTCCTGAGCTTGGTCTCTTGTTGTTGCAGAGAAGGTCTTGCGCTCTTCAGTGATAGTCCTTCCCTGTGGTCCTCCACCAACTCTTCCACATCACTGACCACTCACATGCAACCCCATGGAATTCCCCAATGCCACAATAGATTCCTACACTACCTAGAGTTTGTCAGGGTCAGCCTCAGAACCCTATCAAAATTTTTTCAAAGACACGATCGGCCACAATTTTCTTCAACAAATTCAAATTCCTGGGCAATCAACTCTGCCAAGCCTTACCCTGTAAGCCATGCAATGGAAGATATTGAAGTGATCTTTTCAAGAACTCTCTAGGGTCAGCTGAGTGTCTAGGTCACATCAAAGCACCTTGAAAAATTGCTTTGGTGTAGAGTTTTTTTGAAGTTTGGAAATGAATTCTGCTGGTCCATGGGTTGGATAGAGGGAGTGGTATTAGAGGGCAAGAACTTCACTGTTGATAAAACTAAACTCCTCCACTTTCTCTTCCAAGTCTGGAGATGAGCAGAGCATTGTCTATTACCAGGAGGCACTTGAGTGAAATTATTTTCCAGGAGGTATTTCTTCACACTCGGACCAAACACTCACGAACCAACCAAGAAAATTTCCCTCAATGACCTGTACCTTACAAGTTAGCCTTCCACATCACACACAATTTACTCATGACGACACTGTGTTTTCGGAACACTCTGGGGGATTTTCAGATACACCCATAATGGCTTCACCTTGAACTCCCCACAGATTTCAACAGAACATGAGAGAGTTAGCCTGTTTTTTCATGCTGTGTCCGGTAAGTGCCATATTCCTCCTCATGATGTAGGTCCTGTTAGGTTTTTCTACCAAAAGAAGGCCTGTTTCATCACAACTAAACATTTGGTAGGGAGACATTCATTCAGCCTCTACACAACCTTTAATTCCAGAATAAATTTTTCAGCCACACATTTTGGCAGAACTTGCAGCTCGGCCATGCTTACCACACTGTGTAATGCCACTTGCTTGATCTTAAATCTCTCATACTAGCCATTGTTGGCTTTAAATTCAGTAACATCAGCACTCGTTCAGCAATTTCTTTACAAATTGACAAGCAACTGCCTTCCTTTTCACAAATTATCACTGCATAACACTATCACCTGCGTAACTGTTTTTGGATGATCCATACCACCAACAACAAACTCTCACATCGTCAGCATTCGGCAGTCTCTGTCTTGTGAGCATATCTACCCCTTTCCGCAACAACAGCTTCCTTGATTTTCCTTTGCTTCATCATGATGGGGGGAAGTGGGATGGGGGTATGGGTTTCCCATACATACCGGTGCAAGATGAGGGCCACACGCACGCCACTTTCATGTTTTGCAATGATTTCTTTAGATTTAATTTTCTTTTATTTCCTTGCAAGTTTTACAATGTGGATGACATATGTAGGAAGTATATATACATTGACCCTCGTTTTCATAAGGCTCAAGTCTGTAATTTTCCTAAATCCGTAACTTTTCTTCATTAAAATCAATGACTTGCAATCAATTTGACTTGCAAATAGTTGTGTCGTACATGGACATGTATGCATGGCCCCGAGCCGCCTCACTCTCCATTCCCACCAGTGTGCCATTGTTTTATCAGTGATGAGGATGATCCCCAGTTCAGACAATAACATTTCAAAATATTCATTCGTTTTTAAGGGCTTGCAACTGCTGAAATAAGTCACCATGCTCCAAAGAAACACCCCTACCCTTCTACCAGCTTCTAGTGCCGAGCCCTTTGGTAAAGAAATGTAGAAACGCACTAAAATTTAAGAAAAAGTTTGTAGAAAAATATAAAATGTGGTGGTGGTTAAGTGGTAGCAGTATTGAAAGTGGTAGAGGGTTGGTAGCAGATGTGATAGTGGTAGAGGGTGGTAGCAGTTTGTGATAATGGTAGAGGGTGCTATCAGTTGTGATAGGGTAAAGGTGTAGCATTTGTGATTAGTGTAGAGGGTGGTAGTGAGGTGGTATAGGAAGGTGTGGTTGTGATGTGGTAGAGGTGCCTTCTTCATATCAGCAATTTCTACTAACTCCTCCAATGTTGTTGAGTATATAGGTCTACAGAAAACACTGCCGCCTCATCTGCTGCTTCACTACCATTATGGTGTCCTATGCTCCACAGTGGCCTTATACACCCAACAACAAAAACAGAACACCTCTTGTGGAATTCATAAATGACTTATTTTTGATTCGTTCTAGATTATATTCCATGTTTCTATGTTATTAATACGTTTATATTAGGTCATATTATTGAACTGTGAAAGACAAATAAGCCGTAGAGTTGATATTATGTCATATGTCTCCAACAACAAACTTGCCTCCGCCTCGCCTCCCCTCCCCTCCGCCTCCCTCCCCCTCCCCTCGCCCTCACCCTCCTCTGTCCCGTCTGCCATAACACCTACAAGAGTCTTCCAATAAAGTAAGTGTGCTTTAAATGCCATTTATACATTTATTAGTCTGGTCTGGGTGGGGATTCTTTCTGCATGTAAATTCATATTTAAGCTAAGGAAGGTTGACTTGGAAAGTACCTGAAGTGACCTAGAGCCCTATGGAGGGGGATCCCCCTTCAAACAATAACCTCTCTTCCCTTTCCCCTCCTCACCTCCCTGTCTTCCATTCCATCACAACAGCCTTCAATAAAGGTAACTGTCCAAGTGAAAGTTCATATCTTTTGTGCATGCAAATAACAGTGGTACCTCGCTTTTCGTAGTCTCGGCAATTCGTAAAATTCGCCAATCATAGGGTTATTTTCGTATTAACATGGTTTGCTTTTCATAGGTTAGACTCACAGTCCGTATTTCGTCCAGACGCGTACGCCACGCATGAGCCCGGGCGGCAGCCAGTCTGGCATTGTTTAACAGCGAGCGAAGGTCCTCAACGTGCTCCAGCGAAAATATATCATAATATTCCCATTATTTAGTGCTTGCCAAGTACTAAATCAAAGGCTACCATGGGCTCCAAAGAAAGCTCCTAGGCCAAGCCTGTGTAAAGAAGGTGAAAATACGATTGAATTAAGAAAACACATCAGTGAACAATATAAAGTGGAACAAGTGTGGCCGAACTGTCCAGGTGTATAAGAAACGCCTACACCACTCTTATGTTCCATAGTGGGCCAAGAAAAAGGAAATCCAATGGATGCTGTTGTTACAAAGGGAGTACCTATGCCTGACCAAAAATGCGATCACCAGTACTGGAAGCGGTTGAGAAGTTATTAATGGTGTGGATAAATGAGAAAACAATTAGCAGGAGATACTCTTATACTTCCGATTAGTTGTGAAAAGGCTAGGCATTGCATGAATATTTGGTAAAGAAATTGCCTGAAATAGTGGTGATTTTGAGGACTTTAAGGCCGTCCCAGCAAAGGCTGTATAGAGAAAATAAGAAACCGTACTGGCATACACAGTGTGGTAAGGCAGGTGAGGCTGCCAGTTCGACCACAAGGCGGCTGAAAAATATTGCATGAATTCAAGGAGTACATAAACAGGAAGGACTGAAACCTGAACAAGTGTTTCAAATTGTGACGAAACAGGCCTTCTTTTGGAAAAAAAATGCCAAAGAGGACCTTCATTACACAAGAGGACAAGCGAATGCCAGGACACAAGCTATGAAAGAACAGGCTGACGTTAATGTTCTGTGCTAAATCTAGTGGGGATTTCAAGTGAAAGCCATTACTATGTAAACACATTCAGAAAATCCCAAAGTGTGTCAGGAAAAACAATGTTATGAAGAGTAAATTGTGTGTGGTTTTGAAATCTAATAGTAAGGCATGGTTCACAAGGGAAATTTTCGTCGAGTGTTCAATGAAGTGTCTGGCCCTAGTGTGAAGGAGTATCTCCTGGAAAAGACATTGGATCTCAAGTGCCTGCTAGTAATGGACCAATGCACCTGCTCTACCCCAAACTTGGATGACTAATTTTTGAGGAGTTTGGTTCATCACATGTAAAGTTCTTGCCCCCGAATACCACTCCTCTCCTCACCATGGACCATCAGGTCTTGCAAACTTTAAAAAAAACTCTACACAAAAGCAGATGTTTCACAGGTGCTTGACTGTGACCACAGACCTCACTTGACCCTATGGGAATTTTGAGAGAACACTTCAC